CCCCAAAACCCCAAAACCCCAAAACCCCAAAACCCCTCACATTTTGTGAGTTATTGAATTTAATAAATAATACTTTCTTGACTTGTTGGTTAAAAAGAGTTTTTGAGAAGGAATGAATAGCTAGAATGGGATAACCCAGTGGTGAAGGGCCTTTGGCCGATACACCTTACCAACTAATCAAGAGTGGAGCAGGGTTTACAGATATGAACCTAGAATGAAGGTACAAGATACGCAAAGTGCAGTCAGATAAGGATAAAACCCTGGTGGATTGTAGTATCATTGTTGAAACCGACTAGGAGGGAATTGGATCATAACAAAACTTTAGTATTCTCTGGGTGAGAGCTGGATCCTAGCGTCCCTCCTAGCAAACCAGGAGATTTAGGCTGATTGGAAACTTATGCTATCGTCTGGAGATCTGGTGATTCTCTCCCAAGTGTAGCTATAGTGAGAGTTAAATGAGAGGTAAGTCATTATATCCATAAGCTGGAAGGCATTCTAAAGGTTTTTATCCTGAAGGTGGGAAATATTTTTCCTTGTGTGGGTGCAGTTCATTAGGAGCTTTAGTACTAGGGTCGGCGATGGAAGATTTTAATTTTTCCTGGAAGCATGCTAAACCTTTAGAAGAGGTGCGAATGTTAACTTGGAGATGGAGCAAGTCAACTATAGGATTTTTGCTGGAGGAGTCTTAGACTGACTAAAAGGTACATCAGACTGAAATTTCTAGGGATATAAAACTTGTGCGGATGAACCTAAAGAAATCTAATTTATCTAGACCTCTCAGACAGTGCATACTACCTATTTATGGCTCAATGATGCTATTCTCGGCAGAACAAAAGAAGCCAATGCCATGGATGAGCCCAGGTTGTAAGCTAATTCAAAACAGTAACCTACCCTCCGAACAAGGCTCATTATTCCACTCCAGACTCTTCTCTCAACCTTAATCAATCCCTCTTCTCTCCTCCGACTTCCATCTGCTCGATCGCCTGAGCATAAACTCAGTGCATGGCTTCACTGAGCACAGAGAGAGTGGAGATGAATGGATTGTTATTAAAAGCATTCAATAGAAATTACTCTATCCCACTCCGCGTCTCACTTTCAGTATAACAACTTCTTGCAGTGCAAAGTTCTCAAAACCAATAGGCCTGTTGACTGGCGGCCAGCCGGCCTCTGACCAAACAGCTGACTCCACTGTCCTAGCCGAGGAGGCATTATGGACTTGGGCTGCAGGGCAGAGCACGGGGGAGGGAGAATTTGGGTTTGAATAGTTAGCGTCCTTTGTGCAGAGAGGGTGGACAAACATTTTTGGTAGAAGAAAGAATTTTTGAGACTAAAAGGGGGTGAGAGGAGTGTTTTAGAGGGTGAGAGGTTGGTGTGCCATGAATAAGGGATATAAAGAATTTTATGATTCAACATATAAAAGGTTATGTGGGGTTTTGGGGTTTTGGGGTTTTGGGGTTTTGGGG